ATCAATGTGATCGCAGGCCCAGGAGTGCCGAGCAGGGGAGCGCGGTGGCTCCCTCCACCCCTTCTTCTCAGAAGGGCGGTGGCCTGTATTGTACATTTTTCCCCCAAAAATTGTAAGAATGTTGTTAAATCTCTTTGCTGTCACCAGGCTGGTAAATCTCACACCCTCCATTTCACAAATGCCCTAGGGAGGCCTGATTTTATAATAAAATTTAGAAAGTCACCAGATGTAAGTTGAATGCTGGTGGATGGTAATTAATGGATTCTTTGGAGATGGGGTCCCGGTTCCCACCTTCTCCGCTCCTCCCTAGGGTTGGGGCATACATTCACGTTATCTCACCCTGGCCGGAGCTGATTGGTTCAGGATTGGGCACATGGCTGCAGCTGGACCAATCAGATTCTCCTGTCTATGAATGGGACTCAGGGATCTCAGGGGTGCTTACTCAGGCTGTGCTGGGACTCTAAAGAGAAGAAATTGGCGGGGGTGGGGTTGGGGGTGGGACAGTTGTGAAGAGAGAGGGGGGGAGGTGGGCAAGGTGGGAGAGAGTATGAATACATATGAATGAATCACCTCTCTTTGCTAATTCCTGTTCTTAGTTTCTCTCCCTCCTGAGCTACATTCTTGCCCCTGTGTCTACATTCTCCTGGCCTGCCCAGCTGGTGTGGCTCAGTGGTCGAGCATCAACCTATGAACCAGGAAGTCATGGTTGGATTCCTGGTGAGGGCACAGGCCCTGGTTGCAGGCTCAGTTCCCAGCAGGGGTTGTGCAGGAGGCAGCCAACCAGTGATTCTCTGTCGTTATTGATATTCCTACTGCTCTCTTCCCTCCCCCTTCCTCTCTGAAATCAATAAAAGTATATTTAAATTCTTCTGGTCTGAGGGCTGTTTCTTGGTGAAGGTTTGTGATGAGAGAGAAGGAACATATTTAAGTCCTCTGGGTTAATCAGCCGAAAGTTGGTGAGGCCAGGACAGAATCTCCTTGCCTCCCAGTTGGGATGGAGAGGGCCAGCGTTCGGGACACCAGGAAGGGCGGCTGAAGAAGAAACACCTGTGTGGGCTCTGGTAGCGGCCCCTCCAAAACACCATGGTGTCCGAGGACTGAGAAGGCGAGCCAGCTCTTGGTTGGTGTATTAACTGGAAGGTCTGGGTCTTGCGCTGTTTTTGCCGTTTCCAGCTTTATGTCCCTTGGAGCTCTGCGGTCTGGCCCCAGGACATCGCTTTCGCTCCCCTGGTAACTGCACCCTAACTTTCCTTTGGGAGACCACCCCCCTCCCGCTCTGGGTCCATCTGGTTTAGTTGGCTTAGTAATGGTCTCCAGAAGGGACCTTTGATCTTAATCTGGGACTTTTGCTGAAACCTGTAGGAAAGAAGCATTCTTTCTCTGCAGGAGTTGCTGAGCTGGTAACCTGTTGGCCTGGAGTTGCCGGTGGGCAGTTTTACCATCACAAGAGGAGAATAAACCAACACAGAAGAAGGGAGCGGGGGAGAGATGGGAAGCAGATAGGGAGATGAGTGGATGACAGTGGGACAGAAAGATGGGTTAAGTCTAGATGGCATAGTATCGTATTAAAGCTTGGGTCCAGCCATGCCTGAAGTCCTTTACCCCAGGAACTTCTCAGTTACATGAGTCAAAAATCTCCTTTTTACGTAAGCCATTGAGTGGTAGGCTCTGCCTTGCAACCAAAAGAGTCATGAGTGACACAGCATCCTATACACCCACCCCCCTCCTTGAAGCTAATGAGACAGGGAAGGCTTGAGAATAACCAGAGGACAGAGGGTTCCCTGAGGAGACTCCTGAAGACGGTGGTTTGAGGGATGTAGAGAACCAGGCTGGGTCATGTGATGTGAGACTGAACCCTCCTACATCACCAGGAAGCTCTTTTACTCATGCGGATAAATACCCTAAGGGTGTAAAAGCAGGTTCTCATGGCACCGAGGAATCTCAGTTGCTATGATAGCAACAGCCAGGAATGGTCCTCAAGCCTTGTGGTTGAGACAGACCTGGATTTGCATCTCAGCCCACTACTTCCCAATTCTCTTTCCTAGGCAAGTCCCTTCACCCCTCTGAGCCTCAGTTCCCACATCTGTAGAATGGGGATGATGATGATGGAACCCACCTTGTGGGTACAAGGTGAAATATAAAGAAAATAAAGTATCATCATCCTGGCTATATACATCACTGGGGGGTACTAAAGGTGATTCTAAGTTGGACAAAGATTAAGGGTTTTTTATTTTAACGGTTATGTTTTTATTTTTAAGGTTACTATCTGCTTTTGGCAAGTGATACTTGTTTTCTATTGACGGCAGTGACCTAAAGTTCCTTTTCAAATAAAAAGGGAGCCGATTTAAAGAAAAATATTAGGACAAAAACAGTACAGATGGAACTTCCAAAAACTGTGAAAGGAAACTCTAATGATTAGTTTGCTGGGATATTGCCTGATGTTTGAGATAATGCCCGATGCCTAGCACAGTAGGTGCTCACTAAAAGTGTTTAGATTGAGATGAGATGGCATTTGTCCCTGGCTGCAGGCAGCTTGGCTGTGACTGGAAGAGAGATAAGATGCCAGAGGTATGTGACCTGATGCTCTGATGCCTCTTAAAGGGCTAGACACACACTATGTAACTCAAATGGTCCTTAAGAGGAAGCATGAATCTCAGAGACAATGATTCTGAGAGAAGTCAGCCCAGGGGAAGCCCTGGCAATTGCAGCAGCAAACTCTAATCCCCTCTTTGGTCTGGAAAGCTTCCCACCTCAAATGCCTGACCCCTCTTGACAGCTGTCATCACACTCACCACGTGGAAGGAATAGAGAGCCCGGGGCAGAGCCCTGTAAGATGAGGGCTTTTAGCTGCCCCAGGAGGCCACAGGGACTGATGGGGGGCACAGCACCTTCCCTCTGGAACTTGGAGAGACAGACTTCCCTAGAGTGAGGAGTTTAGGGGGCCCAAGCATATGTTTTTTGGAACAGAATAAAGAGCCCAGAAATAGACCCACTCATATATGGTCAAATGATTTTCTTCCAAAATTCAAAGGATAGTCTTTTTCAACAAGTCATGCTAGAACAACTGGACATCCATATATAAGACAGAAACAAATACAACATCAACCTTTAGCTAACCCTCTAAACAAAAATTAATTTGAAATGGGTCACAAATCTAAATGTAAAACCTAAAACTATACAACTTCCAGATGACTTCAGAGAAAATCTTTGTGACTGGAGTTAAGCAAAGATTTCTTATAGAGGACACAAAACCAAATAGTAAAGAAAAAATGAGACATGGGACTTCATCAAAATTGAAGACTTCTGCCCAGCCAGTGTGGTTCAGTGGTTGAGCATCGACCTATGAACCAGGAGGTCATGGTTCCATTCCTGGTCAAGGCACATGCCTGGGTTTCAGGCTTGATCCCCAGTAGAGGGCATGTAGGAGGCAGCCAATCAATGGTTCTCCCTCATCATTGATGTTTCTGTCTCTCTCTCCCTCTCTGTTCCTCTCTGAAATCAATAAATATATATTTAAAAACACTGAAAACTTCTCCTCTTTCAAAGACATTGTTAGGAAAATGAAAAACCAAGAAGCTACATCCTGAAGAAAACATTTGCAAAACACGTATCTTATGAAGGATTTGTATCCAGGATAAGTAGATAAAAACTCTCAAAACACAATTTGAAAAAGAAATCCAATTTTATTATAAAAACAAACAACCCAATTTAGAATGGGCAAGTCACTATCTGTCCTGCATTGAATTGCCTTTGCACCTTTGTTGAAAATCGGTTGTCCATTTATGCTTGGATCTATTTCTGGACTCTGTTCTATTTCATTGATCTTTGCACCAAGAACACACTGTCTTGAATACTGTAGTTTTACAATATCTTGAAATCATGTCGTGTTAGTTCTCCAACTTTATTATTTTTCAACATTGTCTTCACTGTTCCAAGCCCTTTGCATTTCCATATGAATGTTAGAATCAGCTTGTCAATTGCTATACGAAGCCTCCTGGGATTTTGATTAGTATTGCATCAAATCTATAGTTCAACTTGAGAAGAATCGAAAACTCAACAATATTGAGTCTTCTGACCCATGAACAACAGACCTCTCTTTTTGGGTCTTCTTTAATTTTTCTCAGCTTTGTAGTTTTTAGTCTGCATCTTTTGTCAGACTTACTGCTAAATATTTCCCATGTTTGATCTACTGTAAATGGCCCTGTTTAAAAAAGCTTCCAATTGTTCACTGCCTCTATGTAGAAATACACTTGGCTTTTGTATAAACATCTTGTATCCTGCAACTTTGCTAAACTCACTAATTCTAGTAGCATTTTTGTAGGTTATGTAAGTTTTCTAAGTAGATGATCAAGTCATCTGCAAATTTTACTCATTCTTTTCTAATATGAATGCCTTTTATTTCTTTACCGTGCCTTATCAAAGTAGACATAACCTCTACTACAGGGGTTAATCAGAAATGGTGACGGCAGACATCCTATACCTTGCCCCATATACAAAAATTAGCTTAAAATGGCTTATAGACCTAAATGTAAAAAAAATAAAACTATAAAGCCAGGTTAGCACCAAGCCAGGTGAGTCTTAGTGGATCTTCCCCCCACCAGTTGAGCTGCCTCAGCAGAGGCCCCATGGAGCAGAGACAAACTTGCCCCACTGTGTACACATGGCTGATTCATGAGCAAAATAAGTGATAACTGTTTTTCAAGCCATTAAGTTATGGGGAGGTTTGAATAGAGCCCTTATCCAGAGATATTTTTAAATAACATAGAAATGACCCCAGAGCCTGGCCTGTGTGACTCAGTGGTTGAGGATAGACCTATGAACCAGGAGGTCATAGTTGATTCTGGGTCACGGCACATGCCTGGGTTGCAGGCTCGATCCCCCAATAGGAGGCATACAACAGGCAATCATTGATTCTCTCTCATCATTGATGTTTCTATCTCTCCCTCTTCCTTCCACTCTCTGAAATCAATAAAAACATTTTTTTTTTTTTAAATGATCCCACCTAGTTTCTAAGGATCATGTCTGCGAGTCAAGATCCCCGATCCAGAGACAATGGCCCCGACGGAATGGAGCCTGAGGGCGTCATCGAGAGCAACTGGAATGAGATCGTTGACAGCTTTGATGACATGAACCTCTCAGAGTCCCTCCTCCGTGGCATCTACGCCTATGGTTTTGAGAAGCCCTCTGCCATCCAGCAGCGAGCCATTCTTCCTTGTATCAAGGGTTATGATGTGATCGCTCAAGCCCAATCTGGGACAGGAAAAACAGCCACTTTTGCCATTTCGATTCTGCAACAGACTGAATTAGACCTAAAGGCCACTCAGGCCTTGGTCCTGGCACCTACTAGAGAATTGGCGCAGCAGATACAGAAAGTAGTCATGGCTTTAGGACACATGTGTCAAACACAAGGCCCGAGGGCCAAATCCGTCCCGCCAGGCCTTGCAATGTGGCCTGCACCGCGCTGTCATCACTGTACTCCGCTGCGTTTCCATCACAATGACAGTTTATGACTGTTCAGTAAACCATTCGGCCCGCGATTTAGGCTGGATTTTAGATTTTGGCCCCTTCTCTGATTGAGTTCGACACCCCTACTTTAGGAGATTACATGGGTGCCTCCTGCCATGCCTGCATTGGGGGTACCAACGTATGTGCAGAGGTGCACAAGCTACAGATGGAAGCTCCCCATATCATCGTGGGCACCCCAGGTCCTGTGTTTGACATGCTTAATCGCAGATACCTGTCTCCCAAATACATCAAGATGTTTGTACTGGATGAAGCTGATGAAATGTTAAGCCGTGGGTTCAAGGACCAGATCTACGACATATTCCAAAAGCTCAACAGCAACACCCAGGTGGTATTGCTGTCAGCTACAATGCCTTCTGATGTGCTTGAGGTGACCAAGAAGTTCATGAGGGACCCCATTCGCATTCTTGTCAAGAAGGAAGAGTTGACTCTGGAGGGTATCTGCCAATTCTACAATACATCAACGTGGAGAGAGAGGAGTGGAAGCTGGACACATTGTGTGACTTATACGAAATCCTCACCATCACCCAGGCAGTCATTTTCATCAATACCCGAAGAAAGGTTGATTGGCTCCCTGAGAAGATGCACGCCCGAGACTTCACTGTCTCTGCCATGCACGGGGATATGGACCAAAAGGAATGAGATGTGATCATGAGGGAGTTCCGCTCTGGCTCGAGCAGGGTATTGATCACCACTGACCTGCTGGCCAGAGGCATTGATGTGCAGCAGGTTTCTCTAGTCATCAACTATGACCTTCCCACAAACAGGGAAAACTATATCCACAGAATCGGTCGTGGTGGATGTTTTGGCCGTAAGGGTGTGGCTATTAACATGGTGACAGAAGAAGACAAGAGGACTCTTCGAGACATCGAGACCTTCTACAACACCTCCATTGAGGAGATGCCCCTCAATGTTGCTGACCTCATCTGAGAGGGGCTGGCCTGCTACCTCATCCCGGCCAGGGTTCTCAGTCCTTGGCAGGCTGAGGAGGAGCAGGAGGGGGAAGGGAAGGGAGCCAAGGGATGGACATCTTGTCAATTTTTTTCTTTTCTTTTTTCTCTTTGAATAAATGTCACTTTTTGAGGCAAAGAAGGAACCGTGAACAATTTAGATACCCTTTTCTTTGGGGTAGGCTCATGCCCCAGGCGCCGTCTCTTCTCCCCAAAACACTAATCCACTTCCCTAACCTAGTCAACCTCCAAACCCGACTCCCTGCTCCAGCCAAATTCCTCTGAAAATGATTCTTCAAGGGGGCTGTGTCACTAAACCTCATTTACTGGACCAAATCTGGAGGGAGAACCCTTGAGTTAGGTGGCCCAGGGGATTGTTCCCATGTGGGGGGGAGCAGGGGAGAAAAAATAGTAGCCATTTTTACATTGTTTTGTATAGTATTTATTGATTCAGGAAACAAAATTCTGAATAAAATTACTTGGAAACTGAAAAAAAAAAATGATCCCAGAGACAAAGTAAGAAAAGATAGATAAATACTTTAAATTATAAAACTTCTGCATGTGAAAAACTGTCATAAAAAAGTTAAAAGTTAAGGACACTTACTTTTGGGAATATACACAAAAGAACTGAAAGTAGGGACTCAGACATATTTGCACACTCGTGTTCATGACATTATTCACAATGGCCAAAAGGTGGAAAAAACTCAAGTGTTCATTGATGGGTGAATGTGGTATCTCTGTACAATGAAATATTATCCAGAATTAAAAAGGAAGGGAATTCTGTCACATGATACAACATGGGTGAACCTTGAAGGCATTATGCTAAGTGAAATAACCCAGTCAGAAAAGGACAAGTATTGTATTATCTGAGGTTCCTAGAGCAGTTAAGTCTATAGAGACAGAAAGAATAAAGGTTACAGGGGCCGGGGAAGGGAGAAAGGGGGAGTTAGTGTTTAAAGGGCACAAAGTTCCAGTTTGGGAAGTTGGAAAAGTTCTGGGATGGATGGTGGCGATGGTTGCATAACTATGTGAATGTACTTACAATGTCACTGACCTGTACGCTTAAAAATGGTTACAATAGTAAATTTTATAATATATGTATTTTACCACAATGAAAATGAAATAAGGTAAAGACAAACAGAAAAACTGAAAAAATATTTGCAATATAGTTGCAAAAATAATATTGTCAGTTGTTGGTTAAAAAAAAAAAAAAATATATATATATATATATATATATATATATATATATATATATATATATATTATTGATCTTTTACAGAGAGGAAGGGAGAGGGATAGAGAGCTAGAAACACCGACCAGCTGCCTCCTGCACACCCCCTACTGGGGAAGTGCCTGCAACCAAGGTACATGCCCTTGGCCAGAATCGAACCTGGGACCTATCAGTCCGCAGGCCAACGCTCTATTCACTGGGCCAAACTAGTTTCAGCAGTTTTGATTTTTTAACATGGGAAAATGGCAAAAACATGCAATGTGATATAAGAATGAGGATGAAGAGAGGGAGGAGAAATAAAAATGGCTAAAAAGCACTTTGGAAATATATTCCATCTCTCAAGTAAGCAGTTTTAGTGAGGGTGTGGAGTAACATCATATACAGCTGGTAAGTGTGTAAATGAGCATCTTTCGAGAAGGCAGTTCGGTTCTATGCATCAGATCTCTTTAAGAAGTGCCATTATCCCACAACGGCACTACTAGGAATTAATTCCAAAGAAGTAGTCAGATAGACACCAGGAAAGCAATAGAAAATGGCTTTTCATCAGGAAAAAATTTGAATCACCCTAGTGGTCCATTAAGAGGGAGTTTGTACATAAATGCTGATCTGACAAACAAATAGGTATAATTTTGATTCATTCACATCAATGGCTATTGCTGTGTTGGCTATTGTCATTTTTTTATTTGTCAGTCTAAGGGAAAAGAGGTCAGTGCTCCTGATTAAATAGACAGGGATTGCACGTTTTAAAAATTCTTGCTGCACACCAGTGTGCTGTGACACACCGGCTGAAAATTGCTGCTTTAGTTATCTCTTAGATATTGTTAAGTGATGAAAGCAAGAACAGAAGACATGTTTTAAACGAGCCCATTTGGTTGTTTTAAAATGTGTGGCATGATCTTAATTTGATTGACTGATTGATTGATTATTGTTTTGACAGTATTCTTTTCTTAGTGAAGTAAAATTCACAAAACATAAAAGTAACCATCTTGGGGTTACTTTTATTCAGTTGCATTTAGTACATTCAGGATGTTGTGCAACCATCACTTCTACCTAGTTCCAAAACATTCTCCTCAACCAACAGGAAACCTCATTCCCATTAAACAGTCCCTCCCCATTCCACTTCTTCCACCCCCTGACAACTAACCTGCTTTCTGAGTCTGTGGAATAACTTATCCTGGATATTTCCTAGAAATGGGACCATACAATATGTGACCTTTTATGTCTGGCTTTTTTCACTTAGCGTAATGTTTTCAGGGCTCATTCATGCTGTAACAGATATCAGAATTTCATTCTGTCTTACGGCTGAATAATATCCCATTGTCTGTGTATAGCACATTTTGTTTGCCCACTTATCAACTGATAGACATGTGGGTTATTTTCACCTTTTGGCTATTGTGAATAGTGCTGCTGTGAATGTTTGTGTATGAGATTTTGTTAGAGTACCTCTTTTCAGTTCTTTGGGGTATACGTCTAGGACTGGAATTGTTGGGTCTTATAATAATTCTATGTTTAACTTGTTGAGAAACTGCCAGACTGTTTTTCCACAGTAACTGTATCATTTTTTATTTCCACCAGCAATATACAAAGCTTTCAGTTTCTCCACATCCTCACCTATACTTATTTGGCTTCTTCTTTTTTATCCTAATAAGTGTGATCTGATATTTCATTATAGCTTTGATTTGCATTTCCCTAACAACTAGTGAGGCTCGGTATCTTTTCATGTGCTTGTTGACCATTTGTAGATCTTCTTTGGAGAAATGTCTCTTCAGGTCTTTTGCCCAGTTTTAAACTGGGTTATCTGTCATTTTGTTGTTGAGTTGTAAGAGTTCTCTATTTGGTTTTTTAAGTATATGCATGTTTATGTGTGTCATTCATTCAACAATATCCATAAATGTTTACTGAGCACCTACAATGTACCAGCCATTGTACAGTGGTAGTAGACAAGCCAGACAAAAATGCTTGTCTATAGAGAGCTTCTAATCTAATAGGAGAGAGCTAACATAAAGAAGCAAATTAACAGAATCTACTCTGATTACAATAAATATTAAGAAGAGTGTAAAGTGATGTAAGAAAGTGAGAAGAGGACTTCTATACTGGAGCAGCCAGGGGAGACCTCTCCCTTAGGAGGGAACATCTGGGCCGACACAGAGATAACAAAGAACCAACCTTGTAAAGACCTGGGAGAAAAGCTCCAGGCAGTGGGAACAGTTGGTGCAAAGGCCCTGAGGCCAAATGAGCTTGGTGTGTTTAAGGAGCAGTGAGAAGGCCAGTGTAGCTGGAGCAGAGTGAGCACAGGGGAGAGATGTGTCAATAAAATCAGACATGTGGACCGGGGCTGGACCATATGGAAAAGCTGGACACACAAACTGACAGTGGCAGCTTCTAGGGAGATGCAGATCTTCCCTTTCTATTATACTTTACATACTTCTCTTGTGTTTGATTTTTATAAAAAGCATGCATTTATTTTGTGAGAAAATGTAATATAAAAAGCAATGCATGCCCCAAAATAAAATATTTAATATAGAAACACATAAAGAATAAAATGAAAATTACCCATATGGCCAGCCCCTAGAACCAAGCCAGCAGTGGGCTATTTGTTTCTCTTCAGGAAAGACAATTTTGTACCAAGAAGCATAACCTTTTCCCCCGAAGGGTCCCCTTGAAGCCCTCCTAAAAGCACTCTCAGGGAACACACAGCTCTCACATAAAATAGCTTCCAAAGTGTGCACAACCTTGGGCCCAGCATTTCCACTTGCAGAAGCGCCCACTAGGGAAAGAACTGGGTACTTGGACAATGTAAAAATGTTACAAGAACGGTGCCTGCATCACCATTTACTATTGGGGTAAAAGGGAAACAGTTGAAATGCCCATTAAAGGGGGCGATGGTTGAATAAAATATGGGACATCCATACAATGGGATTTCAATGCTGTTATAATGATGTGGATCAACAGTTATTAACAAGGAGTGATCTTCTGGTTATGTTAGTAAGCAAACAAATGCTTATAAAACTACTAGAGGCCCCGTGCACAAAATTAGCGCATTGAGGAAGGAAGGAAGTCCCTCCGCCTGGCCTGAGCCCTCTTGCAGCCCAGGACCCCTCTGGGGATGCCTGCCTGCTGGCTTACACCTGCTCCCTAAGGTGGAGCGAGCCTACGCCGGCAGGCAGACATCCCTCTTGCATTCCAGGGCCCTTCGCTCCTTACCGCCCACTCCTCCCCTCTGCACGCTGCTCCTTACCACTTGGCTTGTTGCTCCTTAGTGCTGCCGTGGAGGCGGGAGAGACTCCTGCCTCCACCACTGCACTCTCCAGCCGTGAGCCCGACTTCTGGCTGAGCAGCACTCCCAAGTGGGAGCGCACTGACCACCAGGGGGCAGCTTCCGCCATAAAGGTCACTTGGGCTTTTATTATATAGACTAGAGGCCCGGTGCACAAAATCTGGGTCCCTAGGCTTGGCCAGCAGTCAGGGCCCATCAGGGCCTTCCAGCTGCTGGCCAGGGCCTTCCTTCATTCTGCGCCACCCCCTGATGGTCAGCGCACATCATAGTTAGCAACTGATCTCCTGGTCGAACTCCCACAGGGACAATTTGAATATTAGGCTTTTATATCTATAATATAAACATAACCAATGGATACAAGACACGGGGGGGAGGGGGCAGGTGAAGGTATATGCGGGGGGGGGGGGGAAGGAGGGGGCGCTTAGGGGAGGCTGGAGGAAGGTCAAGGGGGGGAAAAAGGAGACATATATAC